CAGCTACTGAGCTGAAATGCAAGTGGATGCTTGTGGTGTCTGGTGTTTCACTGACCTTGTGCGTCTAGAGCCAGTGGTCTGGTCATCTGTTCACAGGATAGCGGTACACAGTGTGGCATCTAGTGGGAAATCTCCCGAGGGTGGTAGCCACTGTTAATTCCCTATTGTTTTGTTTTGAAGTACTGTATCATTTTCGTTGTTTCGATGGGTTGGGTTTTGTTTGTTTTTGTTTTGTTTGGTTATATCCGATGGCATGAGAAGCTATTTCAAAGACAGCAAGATATATTATGGTAACCATTTTGAATTTACTACTGTCTTATTTTGAAGTCCTTTACTGCATTCATTGTTCTGCCGTTATTGGTTCTATTCTGTTCTGTTCTGTTTGATTTTTACTATGTCTGAAGGTATCTGCAGCCATTTTGAAGACAACAAGAGGCATTATGGTAACTATTATTGATTTCATATTGTTTTGAGATCCTGTGTCACTTGCATTGGTTTGTGTTCATTGGTTTTATTGTTTGTTTTCTTTGGATTCATCCTCTTTAAAAAAAATTAAATGCAAGGGATATACTCACGTCTTCCTGGCAATCATGAGGTTATGAGTTTGATCCCCAGCACAGAAAAATTAATTAATTAATTAATTAATTAATTAATTTTAAAAACGCAAAAGACATAAAGTATTTAGTGTAAGGTCTCCAATATATAAAATATAAAATAAAACAACAGTGAGACACCATTTCTCACCTATGAAATTATTAGCAAAATTTTTTAAAAGCTGACAATATATTCTGTTGGTCAGATATATATTGCTAGTGAGAATACAAAATATTACAACTTCATAAAGCAAAATTTGGCAACTTTCAAGCACAGGTACACAACACTGAACTCCCAAATCTTGTGTCTAATAATTTTCCCTTAATATGAACTTCTTATAATATAACACACTTATGTACAGGGTTATTTATTGCAGTATTTTTGTTTTTATAAAACAATGGAAATAACCTAAATGGCTACATAAATAAGATAGTGGTTATTAACTACAGTACATGCACAAATTTAGATCAGCTGTCTCATTTTGTATAAAAATAGGAAACTGCATAGTGAGACCCTGTATCTAAAAGATAGAAAAAAATAAAAATAAAGATAGGAAGAAAATAAAAGATGATTCCTATAAACATAGCAATAGCTGTGGTACGATGTCCAGGATGTATTAAGTGATAAAGGCTATCTTTATCATAGCATAGTGATACTATGCTACCTTTTATGTAAGAAAGAAGAAAAAAGAAAGATACACATCTATCTGCTTATATTTTAAAAAGGAAGCATGGGAAGAATAAACAAAGGCTAATGATTCTACTACATACAGTATAGGGATAAAGAACAAATGATTAGAAGACATAGCAGTCTGGTGATACTGCCCTGAAAATAGCTTTCTGTGAGCAGGATGGAGGGACAAACCTAAAATAGAATATAAATAGGAAAAAATGAACATAATAAACTTTTGATAAATCCTGAACTTTGCTACATGGTTTTATTTCTGTAGTAGTATGGAAATGGCAATCCAAAACCTATTTTCTATAGATGGCAAGACAGAATATGAATAAATGTACTGTGCAATGCTTGGAAATACGCTGCTCAATTCTAAAGAAGAGGGATACAAATGTGAATTGGAGAAGGCTAAGCAAACCCCAGTAGTGTTAAACTCTTCCATGTAAACTCAGTTTATAGTCAATAGGCAGAAAGCAGATTTTAATATGGGTATGTGCTCTACATATGGCTGTATGTATGACTATATGTACATACATATGTGTGTGTGTCCCCTGAGAGGTATAAAAACAAGGATCCTCAGCAGGAAGTACATTTACTTCTTAGGTCTTTGTTTCCAATCACCTTTCAACAAAATGAACCAATGTAGTATGGTTGATTCTTTGTGTAAACTTGAGGTCTATAAGTTTAAGTAACTCAACAGCTCTACATCCTAGGGTATAGAAGGCAGGTCCTTACCCTTCAGGATGTTGTTCACTGTGTCAGTGTGAGAAGTCTAGAAGTTTACGTGTATCAGCAGGAGGCCAGGGTCCCCACTCTGTAAACATCCTCATCTGTGCAAGAGGAGGGCAGAGAGGTGGTGAGTGCTGCACCTACCCCATGGCGGTGGCCTGCATACAGTATAAGGGAGGAAAAGAGGCTTGCTCTCCTCCCTCCTCCCGACTTTTGCTCTTGTTCTTTTGTGGTCTTCCGCCACCCTCATCTGTTGCCCATGTGCCATGCCACTCTGTTTTGGAGCTAGCTGATTACAGGTGGAAACCTCTACAAATTGTGATCTAAATAAACCTTTCCTTCTTCAACTTTGGGTGTCAGGTATTTTGTCCCAGCAAGAGAGAGCAGTAACTAAGACAGAATTTGGTATCAGCGGAGTGGAGTCCATGCTGTGACTATACCTGACCATACCTGACCATGTAATTCAACAGTCTTTGGGAACGGCTTGTGGAAAGAGGTTGGAAAGGTTCAGAGCAGAGCTGGAACGCCTTAGGCCATTCTGCATGGGAGATTCAGGTCAGAGCTCAGAAAACTACAAGGCTGACAGAAATCCTGCTGATAAAGACCAGGCTCGGGAGGTTTCTGCTGGGAAGAACTGCATTAGGGCTGGACTCTAGACGACATGAGTTGGCAGAAAGTTTGTCTACATTTTGCTTGTGTCCAGAGACTTTGCCTGAAACTAACAATAAGAGTAATAGACTAATTAATCTGATAGAAGAAATTGCAAGGCAGTCAAATGTTAAGGTGGTGGCTTGGCTATTGATGGGGGCTTTTGGCCAGATTTATGTAGTGAATCAAGAAAACAGAGCCCAGCAAGGATGATTTAAAATGTTGTGAGTTCAGCGGAAAAGGAAGCTCCAGTAAAGCTGTGAACTGCAAAGACAGAGATGAGGAGATCTCAATTGATGAGAAAAAACAGAATATAAAAGATAGCTTAAAAGCATTACAAAAAGCAGCAAGTCTCCACCTTTTGCAGGCTCCAAACTGCAAAGGTGAAAGACTTTGCTTTGAGGAAAAAGCCACAGAGCATTATATACCACAATGGTGGCAGCTACACCATGTTCCAGTGTGGCAACAGCATAGCAAATTTGTTCCTCAGGATTGGATTCAGGGTACTCAGCAATCCAGGCATTCAACCTCTACAGCCAAGAGAGAGGAAAGTCTGGCTACTGCTCTAGCTGGCAGCAGACCTTGGCATCATCCACGAGGTGCTGGTTTTAAATGTATACAGAATGCAAGCACTGTGGGGTTAACAAGGCTTCCACTTCAATTTCAGAAGCCTGGGAGGCCATGTAGTAGGCCTGAGAGGGCAGTGTTATGAGGGTGTTATGAGAGGAAGTTATGAGGATGAAGCCAACGGTGCAGTAGAAGTTTGGCAGTACCAACCTGGTACCACCACAGGAGTACCAGACTACACAGGAGTTTGGAAAAGCCAGGAATATGGATCATCTAAGGAAAGCTGCACAGAGGGAACAAAGTGGCTTAAGAGAGAAGCCATGTGAGCTATAACCACCAGAAGTGCTAGAGGGATGGGAGTCATGCAAGTCTTTTGGAGCTCACAATCTACCACAGATTGCCTTAGATGCTGCACAAGGAATTATAGGATTTCATGTTTGCCCTACTAGGTTCCTTTGTACCCCCCTGTTTGTAACTTTTGGAATGGAAATGTTTATCTTGTACCATTGAATGTTGGAAATGTTTAATTTTTCATTGTACGGGGGCTTGCAGCTAAGAGTTTGCCTTATTTGGAACTTGGACTTTTCGGCAATGCTGAAATGGTTAGTTAGGACTTTGGCAACTCTTGAAGATGGACTAAATGCCTTTTGCATAAAGGGATGTACATGACCTTTTGAGGGACCAGGCGTGAAATGTTATGGCTCTAATGTAATATAAGTTTGCGAACTTAGTGCTGGTTCTTGAGTATTGTTAAATCTGTGTTATAATGTTCAAGTTGTGAAATGTTAAGAATAAAACATGTCTTTGTATGTGAAGGTCAATTTAAAGAAATGAGTCTGGTTGCCAGGTTGTCAAGGGGTGGATAATGGTTGATACACCATGTCAACTTGAGAAGTTTAGAAGCTTAACTAAGTAACTTAGCAGTTCTTCATCCTAAGGTATAGAGAACAGTCCCTTACTGCTCTGGGATGTTATTCACTGTGTCAAGGTGAGAAGTTTAGAAGTGACTCAGAAAGGGACAGAGTCTTCACTTTGTAAACATCCTCATCAGGACAAAGAGATTGTATGAGTGCTACAACCACTCTAGGGCAGGTAGTCTGCATAAAATAGAAGGGAGGAGAAGAGGCTTGCTCTCCCCCACTTTTGCTCTCGTTGCTTTTGCGGTCTTCTGCCGCCATAAACTGTTGCCCTTGTGCTGTGCCACTCTGCTTTGGAGCCAGCTGATTATAGACTGAAACCTCCACAAAATGTGAGGTAAATAAACCTTTCCTTCTTTAAATTTGAGTATCGGGTATTTGGTCCCAACAAGAGAAAAAAGTAAGTAAGACATAGTGCTTCTCAAAGAAATGGCTGATTCCATAGCAAGAGCAGGGAAAGTATAACAAGACCCATCGTGTACCAAAATTAAGTGAAGAGGGAAAAAAAAGATACACAAAAATGGACACAAGAATAATTTGGGGATGCTCCATTGGCCAAATCTGTGACAAATAATTATCAAATAATATAAGAAGAACAAGATTATACAAAATGGTTGTCAAAATATGTGTGGCTATACATATGCATGTGCATGTGAGTAAAAAATACAGAACAAAAATTATAAACCAAACACAGGAAGTGAAAAACGTACAGGAGTTTTTTTATACTATTCTTCAAGTTTTTTGAAACTATATCCATACAAAAAAATTTTTAATAAAAGTAAACTCTCAGCTAATTAAAAGAAAAAAGATGCAGTTCAAAAACATGCAAAACAGGAAATAACTGTAGATATTCATGACATGTATACATACCTGTCTGTGTTCACATTAGACTGAGCGTTTAAAGAGTTATCCAACTCATTCTCACTCTCTTCAGACTGGCTATTAACAGTTCCTTCTTCTCCATCATCTACTTCATTAAGAACCTAACTCAACACAAGAAAATAAATAGTGCAAAGTTTTCTTCATGTAATTATCCTACCTGGCTGTCATACTCAAGAGACTTCCCAAGGTTAATGCTTCATATGTGTTCTGGAATCCAAAGCCACTCACTTCCTTCCACCCCATCAGTTGATGTTTCTCTCTCCAACATCTTCAGCCTCCTCTCCCCTTCTCCTCCTGCTTCCCCACTGCCCTACCCTTTAACCTCTCTCTGCTTCACAAATTTAAATGTGAGCAAATAGTTCCCATCTTACCCCAACCCCATAGCTACGTTTGAGCTAATCCCAAACTTCCCCAACTTCTTCAACAAGTTGTTCCCACTTCTTAATTACCATCAGTGCCTTATAATTTTGCTTCTGCCCTACCACTCCATTCTGCAAGTCAATATCAACATGTTTAGTCTGTCTTTATCTTCCTTTACTACTCTGACTTACTGGACCTCAATGATCACTCATTTTTTTTTTTTAAATCGTGTTGATATACTATTCATCCTTTAACTTCTATGACATTGGATTTTCTTGGATTTTCTTCCTTTCTGGCTGTTCCTTCCCAACCTCTTGTATTGGTTTTTTTATTTGTTGTTTATTTGTTTTGGCTTTGAGTTAGGGTCTACTACGCAGTTCTGACTGACCTTAAAATTAAAGTCACTTTGTAGCCCAGGCTGGCCTCAGACTCACAGTGATCCTCCTGTCTCATCCTTGCAAGATTACAGGCATGTGCTAAGATGCCCAGATGGCTTTCTTTTTCTCCCCTTCCTTTATATCTGATGGGTTTCAAGGTCCTCTCTTTGGACCTTTTCTGCTCTCATCTGATCAAGTCTTTAAATGATTTTAGCTAAGTCCAAAGTTATAATTTCAAGTCAAATGCTGTTAATTTCCAAATCTTTATTTCTACTCAGATCTCTCTTGAGCCCTATACATTTACATTCAACTGCCAAAAAGACACCCCTTCCCAGTATGTCTAAAACCAAACAGCTTCCTAAGCCTTCCCTTCATTCAGAAGTCTGTTCAGCCTCTATTGCCTAAGACTATGAACAGTGCCACCCACTCAGATGTTCAAACCAGCAAACTGGGAATTTCTTTTTCTCTCATCACATCCAAGCAGCCATTCAGTCCTGTCAACTCTACCCCACTTTAATTTCTCTCAAATGTATGCTTCAACCTTCATTTTTTCAGTATTAGTACTGCTTTAGGTCAGGCCCTTACCACTTCTCATCAAGAATCCAACCCAAGTCTTCTAACAGATGGCTGTGGTTTAAATATGGCTTGTTCCCTTCTCAATTCATGTTGAAATTAATGCCCATTATGAGATCTTAAGAGATGGAACCAGATAGGAATTAATTAGGGCTATGCTTTCATGACTGGATTAATCTCCTATTGGACTAATAGATTAATGAGTTATGTCACAAGTAGTTTTGCTATTAAAGGTCAGTTTGGCTTCATTTGGCACCACATGATTCCCCTGTCACCTCAGCACCCTGCGAAGAAGACCATCAACAGATGCTGATCCTCAACCTTAGATGAGAAACATGAGCCAAAATAAACCTCTTCTCTTCATAACTAACCCAGCCTGCATTGTTATTAGCACAAAGACACACACACACACAAACAGACTAAGGCACTGACTCTCTCTCTAGTCTTGACCCTTTCCAATCCATCTTCCACCCTGCAGTCAAATCTCATATGACTCCAATTCACTTAAAATCCTTTACTAAATTCTTAACTTTCTGGGTCTTCCGCCTTTCAGGAGCTAGTCTTCTCCTAAACCTCTGCTCTTGCCATGTCCACATCTTAATACATCTTTTATCATTCCAAATGTGCAATTCCCTAGGATCATCCCTTCAATTAAAGATTCTCCCTTAGTTGTAACAGAAGGAATAAATAAGGAAATTGTTTAAAAAGCACTAAGTCCTGGTCACTTCTAAATAGCTTTTTTTATTAGCATAAATTCATTGTGAGCTTTAAAAAAATATTTACAATCTCAAAATTCTAAACATGTTGACCAAGAGTTTCAATTATGTTAGACTATAGCTAATTAGTATTTTATTACTTTAACATCTATACAGTACTATTGATTTCCCATAAATTCCAGACTTCCTTTTAAATGTACTAATACATTACTAATATTATTAGTACTGTAATGTACTAATACATTAAAAATGACCAACATTTAAGAAAGGGTTATATTCCTGGCATTATTCTAGATCTTGTATGTAGCCTATCTCAGCTGCATCAGGCATATTCTATTCCCATTTAATAAAGAACAAAGAAAGAAAAAGGAAAAGACCAGTTTGAACCAACTCAGAAATCTTAAGAAAACAACTCAAGATCAAATAGCCAATAAGCACCAGAACACAGATCTCTCTGACTGCAAGGGGTTCCCTGCTGCTTCCTTAATGACAGAAGGAGGCAGCTTGTTGAGCCACACAAGCTAACTCAGAATTCCACCTCTGGTGCAAATTACATGATGTTAGGACAAGTCATAATTTTTTGAGCCTCAGTTTCCTCATCTGCTAAATAAGGTAACAACAGGACATATCTTCTAGGTAAGTATTCAATAACTGCTGACTACCTAGTGTCCTGTCTTGTTTAGTATAAACCTTACACACATGAAGTGCGATATGCTTGCCTAAGAGGACGTCTAGCAGCCACAACTAATGACTACTGATGTTTAAGCTTTTAAACTGTGTATCACAGTGCTACATCGCCTTACACTTCAAGTCAGTGTAAGCACTATGGTCTGAGCACAGCACATTACCTGCGACTCCAGGACAGACTCGTTAAGCATGGACTGGGTAGTAGGGTCTTGGTCCACTGCAACGGGTCCGTGAGAGGAATCAGGAGCCATTGTTACATTTGGAAATCCTACAGAAGGAAGGGAAGCCATGATGGCTTTGTTTCATTTAATTAAGCTGCCTTCCTAAGTTGTATACTGCTATAGAGCTCTATTATCTATGGAAATCTCAAATAATAACAATAGCAGTAGCTTTTACTGAATAGCACTTACTATATACCACCAGTTTCCAATGTTTCTGTATGTGCACACATATATTTAAGCTTATTTTCATACAAAACCCCATGAGGTAGACATTATTTTACAGATGATCAATAACTGAAACTCAGAGAGCTTGAGCAACTAGCTCAGTTACACTGATAAATGGTTGACCCAAGACTCAAACATTACACTAAAACTGTTTTTGAGAAATTCAGATGAAAAATTAGCTATATACACATCAAAATCAATAATGTCGTATATCTGGATAAGAAGCAATGTATCTTTTCGGGAGAAAGGGAAGTTTTCAGTGTTAAGCTTTAGAGTTGAAATTAAGCTTCACTCAGATTATACATCAGTGATGGCAGACTTGTGGAGCTTTCAATAACAATCTACCGCAGCACACGTGCCATAGGTTCAACAGTACGGATATATACATGCAGGTTTTTTAATTTTATGGTTAAAAAATTGAAAATTGTCACATTTCAAATTTATCAAATATAGCACATTATGTCATATTTTAGTAGATAATAACAATTTGCTTTTCTTTAGCAGAATTATTTGTAAGTCAATATCCTTAGTAGAAAGGAAATAAACATAGTAACTCTAACCCTACAAGCCCTGTATATTATTCATCCTGAACACTTGTAATATTTAATATTATGCCTGTGAAAGAACATTACATTCTTTTGAGTAGTCAGTAAGGAAGAGAAACTTTTGTTTAGATCAAACGCCTACCTGTGCGCTTGCAAGGAGCATCAACAAATAGATTTCTAGCTGTAGCCATCAAATGATCAGATTTCTCCAACACATCCTGCATCTGATATTGATCAGAAAGAATCTAGACATGTGTTAATGACAATTATTATTCAGAAATAAAATATATTTATTTTTCAAATCATGAAACAGTATATAAAGAAAGTGTAAAATAACCATGGACACCATTGCCCTCAAATCCTTCAATGGCGATACCCTTAACTACCAGCAGATGGGGGTACTGCAGTTGTCAGTGGCTTTCAAATAACAGCAAACCAAAGAAATATCCATTAAATTGTGGCCCAGTACACTCACATTCATGCATATACATCGGTATATGTAACCAAATTTTTATTTACCCTTTTCTATGAAAACTGTTTATATTGTCTTTTAATTTCTATTCTACTTTTTAAGTGATGATAACTTAATTTCACAATTCATTTGCAAATTAAGATCAACAGTTTGAAAAACAGATTTTTTTTTTTTTTTTTTTTTTTTTTGGTCTTTTTGCTTTTTATCGGTACCGGGGATGGAACTCACGACTGCCTGCTTGCAAGGTAGGCACTTATGCCCCTGAGCTAAATCCCCAGCCCCGAAAAACAGATTCTTTGAGTTATAAATTTAGACATGTGTTTCAATTATTAAAGTAACTTCATAACCTATAATGGGTCATAATTAAAACAATGTAAGATGAATTTTAGGATTAAACAAATGTGATACTTTTGTGTTTATGAACAAGTTGGTTTTTTATTCTGGAGAAGTAGGAACTCAGAAAATTCCGATAGTTGTGTTCTCTGATCACGTCCTTTCCTCTCAGCCACGGGTAATTCTAAGACAGGCTACAGTAAAGTAAGTCAACGCTATCAACCACCACCAGGGGGCACACTTAAATTGAAAGTAGTCAAAATTAACTGCCCAGTTTCCAAGACTAACTCAACGTCAGTAAGATATCGGGTAACAAACGCTCTTACCAGAATTTCCCCATATCACAGAATTACATAATGTGACCTAAATTGTGGTCTTAATTTACTTTAAGTTGTATTCTTTGTTTTTTCCTCTCACCTCCTAAGATACACAACCAAGCAGATTAGCTAGCTCAGTTGGTGAGAAAAAACTCTGAATTCATTCCTTCCATAAGGAATAAGCTTTGGATCAAGATCAAGAGTACGGGATTGGGGTTCTAGATCCAGTCAAGGAAAACGAGGCAAAATCTGATTAAATTTCCTGATATGGCAACAGAGATACTACCAGTTTCTCAACCCCACATGGGAGCAACAGGCTTAGGGACCCACTGAAAACCTGTCTGGCACCAAGTGATGTCTGAAAACGCTCCACAGTGTAAATGACATTACCCATGGAGCAATTCTCTATCCCCAGGGTGCCATCTTGCAAGTCCATGCAATGAAGACTTTAGGAGAGAATGTGAATGGATCAGAATCTATTATAAAAGCAGAAAAATTACAAAAAGCTGATCGCTAATGGCTGTTTTTATGAGTTTACATTAAAAAAAAAACAGTGATCTATCAAAATAAAGAATAACAACCTCAAATGGACAGAAGCAGATAGTGGAGGAATAATCTCACTAAACCTGATTTTAACGCAGTCTCAAGTAAAGCTGTGGCACCCTGCCACCTTCTGCCAGCCTCTGCTTAGGCTCTTGGCACAGATGGTTTGAGTGGTGAAATAGGAGCAATGTATCACCCCTCCTTTGCTCTTTTTAGATTTACTGTTTGTCTCAAAAACTCAGTCTTTTTATAGGAAAACTCATCTCTGCAATCCCACTTGTACATTGTGTTATGATCCCAAATGTGTTTGCAGAATACACACTTGCAAGTGGCAGTGAACATTTTGGTTTTTCAAAGGGTCAGTCAGGGTCCCTGCCAAAACACTACGGAAACTCCTCATTTTTTCCTTTTTGTTCTGGATCATAGAAACCAAACGGAACCGAGAAATTACAAAGAGACCGGGGGAGCTGTTACACTTTTGGAATTTGTGAAATCTTTATGAAAGCCTCTTTCTGAGTTGGACTTGGACCCCAATTTCGTTGACTCTCCCAGCCTGAGTGCACAACACAGCAAATGCTATCTCAGACTGTGCGTAGGAAGGGCTCTTCTCTTAATTAATGCTAATCTAGCTGTGTACACACAATAATTCAGTCTACACAGATATGAATATGGAGAGCTTTTCCTTTGGTCTTATCATATGCCTTAAATACAAACATTACAAGTTTAGTAACCGTGAAACAAAAGATGCACTTTTTTTTAACCTCAGCAATTCTTTAATAATTTATCCTGTAACTATGTATGTACGCCAAAACATATTCAAGAATCTATCGCATTATTTATGTTGACAAGGCAGGAGGCAATCCGTGGGTAGCATATACTGCGACTTATCCACTGATATCCTTTCTTCTTCTTTGCCCTTCAACAGCAGCATTCCTAAGATTTAGCAAAGTATACAGCAAGATTGCTCAAGCATCTCTGTGGTGAGAATGACCACGCAATGACCTTCTGGTACAAGATACATGCCAAGATTGCAGAAGAGAATAACAGCAACTACCCTTTGCACTTCTACTGGCTGGCACACAAATGAAGGAAGCTGTGACAGCCATTCTGCACTCAGAGACGGAAACTAAGTAATGAGGGGCTGCAAACTCCCCTCCCTGCTATCTTTTATCTCTGAACTCTTTTGTGAGACAGAGATAAATCTCTATTTGGTTCAAACCATTATGATCTGCAGTTTTTTTTTCCTTAAGTTAAATTGCACACTAATGTACAACCAAGTATCCATCAATAGAACACTGATAAATAAATTACAGTAAATCTATAACACTACGTGGCTATTATAAAGAGAAGGTAAGACCTGAAGACGCTGCTCACTGTTAGTCCTTTCTCTAGCATGCACGAGGCCCTGGCTTTGATCCCAGCAACACATTAAAAAATAAAAAAACAAGTAGACTGCTAAGTATTGACATGGAATAACTTCTAAGATATATTGTTAAAGGGAAATGCGTGCATTCTACTAAGAGGTTTGCAACCCCACATCACATTAAAAGTACTCAGAAAACTATCTAAAAACACCTGTTGAATCCCTTCTCCTCCCGTATTTACTATTTGGAGGAGAAATTCAGGACATGAGAAGCCACTAGAGAGGGAAACTAAAGCCCAGAATTTGATGCACTGCTGTGGAGCCGTCCTTTTCCCACACAGAACTGTATCTTTAGCTCTTTCACTGAGAATTTGCATGTAACATTCACATTGGGTGAACTGTCTGAGATCACTATGAGTTACTTATCTATAAAGGAGCATTGTCTCTCAATCCACTATTCTTTCTCATATTTATGTAAACGTTTATTTGGGAAATAGAATTCTTCTTGATAGTATAAGACTGAAACTTTCTTATTTCACATAGAACCCTAATAAAGTTCTCAAAAGACAGGTGTGTTGTAAAGCGGACATGAAAGGTCACCCAGACGGCCCAGGGCCATAAGCTTTAACATGAGTAAGAAGCAGTACTACAAGGCACTTTCTTTTACAGTGATTTCTGCTCAAAATTTTTTTTTATTTAAAAGGAGAAAGAGAAAAAAGCAGGAACAAAAAAAAAAAACAGTGTAAGGGTACAAGTAATACAGAATTACAAAAAAAAAAAAAAAAAAAAAAAAAAAAAACCAGTAAAATATCACCAGTCCTGTAATATTCCCACTATCTTGTTTTGACTGATTAGACTCTGTTCTGCTCAAATTTTAAAAGGCGATTTTGCTATACTTTCCTCTTACTTTCCATGTTGTGCATCTCATTTGATTACTTATCCCACACCCTACATTTGGCAAAAAATTAAGCCTAAAAATAAATGGATGGGCATACAACATTCTTTTATTTATTTACTTAGTTTTGCTAACAGCAGTGCTACTGAACTAAGAAAAATAATTATAATAGTTTACGTATAGAAAAGACTAGTTATATCCCAAGGACCAAACTGATCACTTTACAATATTATTAAAATTTCATAATAATACATCCAGACATTTTAAAGATGAGATAATTCACACTGAGCTGTTACTAATTTAACATCACAATACAGTTAGTTGTAGAGCAAAAACTTAAACCACTACACTAGACTATAATCATCACTCTGCTACTTTTTTCAAAGTTCACATACAAAGTATAACTACAGGGCCAGGATTTAGCTCAGTGGCATAAGGGCCTACCTGCCAAGCACGAGGTTGTGAGTTCAATCCTCAGTACCAAAATAAAGGTATAGTTACAAAATACAGTAAATGCTTAAATTTTTAAGTTACAGTGAAATACACATTGCCATTAATCCCCTTCAAAATATTTCCCCTTGCTTTGAACACATTTATCCCATGGTTCTGGCCACTTTTCAAAGCAGCTCTGGAAGTCCTCTTTAACAAGCATTTTTAGTTGCACTGTCATGATGGCCTTGATGTCCTACACTGATTTGAAACATTTACCTTTCATTTTGACTTTGAGGAAGAGCCAGAAGAAACACAGTAGCAGATCCAGCAAATAAGAAAGATGAAAACGTACTGTAATGCTTTTATAAGCCTGCCTTCCCATCAGATCACACCGCACAGCAGCAGTCACTGCATTTCTGATCACGCCACTTAAGGATACTCACAAGAGAGAGGATTGTTTCAGAAAGTACAAGAACCGGGAGATAAGTCTGTTCAAGGTAAAGGGGAATATTTTGAGAGGGATTTATAACAATGTGTCTGCTACTGTAATACTGCTTTTCATGCAAATACATGTTTTTTGTTTGGTTCGGCATGGCTTGGTTTTTTAAGACAGGGTCTAGCTATGTTGTGCAGGCAGCCTTGAACTTGCTTATGTAGCGCAGGCTGGCCTCAGACTCACTGTGATCCTCCTGCCTAAATCTCCTGGGTGGTGGGATTACACACATGCACCACCATGCGTGGCCATACTTTATTTTTTTATCAGCCCTTATACATCATTGTACAAAGATACAATTATTAGAGTCTCTCTAATGTGAATCAAATTCAAGAAAAAAAAAGAGAGAACCTAATTGATCTTTTTTTTAACTCTTGAGATAATCTATGTTAACATTACCTCCTTCATGATAGACAATCTAGTTTTCTCCAGATTCCAAGTTTCTGGTTTCTGCTTCCTGCATTTTCTTCTCAGAGCTTTTTCTTGAAGTTCCCAGTGTACTAATGCTCTGTTCTTCGATTTGTGTATTTCATGACGACGTACCTATACAGAAGGAAAAAAATACAAAGGAATATTTTCAGTAACAAAGAAGTTGCCTATACAGACAAAAGGGTCACTTAGTCATCCAGTTCATCATTTTTTAATTTTGGAGGTTCAAGATATGTTTGTTTATATATATTCACACTCAAATATTCCATACTCCTCTAGATTTTGAAAATTGATCTTAAAATGAAGTAAACAGAACTAGTAGATCTAGCTAAAAAAATACTGAAAATAATATCAATTTCAATTTCAACTTCAATTTCAATTTTTTTTTTTTTTTTTGAGGCAGGGTCTTGCTCTGTTCAGGCTGGCCTTGAATTCACTTTGCACCCCAGGCTGGCCTCAAACTCACAGCAATCCTCCTGCCTCAGCCTCCCAAGTACGGAGATTACAGGCATGTATCACCATGCTTGGCTACTCAATTTCTTTTCCTTCAACACTATCCAATAGTGTTTTTCAAACTATGGTTAGGTCTCATTTAATGGATGGTAAAAATCAACTTGTGGGTCAAACTGACATTTTTCATACACACACACACACACACACACACACACACACACACACATACACACACACGCACACGCACACTGAGCACAATGTTGGCTAAGACACGTCATTTTCATGATAATCACATCACTACGAAGAATTGTGTAGTCCTGAGAAGCCATGGCTTCATGTGGAAGTGAGCCACAGAAGTTGCAGAATTCAACAGAAGTGGAGTTCCTAAGACAAAGAGGAATGAACCACAGGTCTTAAGAAAGAAGCCAGGTATGTGGCACATGCCTGTAATTCCAGCATACTGGGAGGCTGAGGCAAGAGGATTGTAGGTTTTCACCCAGCACCTAGCAACTTAGCAAGACTCACTCAAAAACTTTTAAAAACAGGGACTGGGGATGTATCTAGTGTTCAGTCCCCAGTACCAAAGACAGCAAAAGAAGAGTTACAAAGGAAGAATGTGTCAGGGTAGATAAGGAACAAAAGCAGACATCTGAAGTGCTTACTTAAAGATAAGTACTTCAATAATCAGAACTAAGTATAAATAAAACTCAATCTGATAACTGCTGAATTTTCACCATGTAAATAAGAAATGAACAGCTGGGGATTTAGCTCAGCGGTCTGCCTTGCAAGAGTGCAGTTGTGAGTCCAATTCCTGGTACCAAAAATAAATAAATACTTAATTAATTAAAAATAAATAAATAAAAAAGAAATAAGTCCATTAAAAGACTAACAACTGAATATTCTGTGAGGATCCTGATTCACATAACAAAATGACATTTTCCGAGATAACTAGAAAAAAATTGAGCTGGGAGTGGTGGCACACGCCTGTAATCCCAGCACATGGGAGGCTGAGACAAGAAGGTCTCTGTGAGTTCAAGGACAGCCTGACCTACATAGTGAGTTCAAGGCCAGCCTGAACTACATAGTGAGACCCTGTTTCCAAAAGCAACCAAAGTATGAATATGGACTAAATATTACAAAAAGTTACTTTTACTTTTGTGGGTATGATAATGCTATTATAAACATGCTTTTTTAAACTCTACTTTTTAAAATGCAAACTGAATATATATGTACAACAGTGGTATGTTCTCCAGGATTCACTTTAAAATACTTCAGTGAAAAAAGAACACAGTTTGATAAATGGAAGCAACTATAGCAAAATTTAATAAATATTATTTCCAAGTGAAGAACATACAGAAGAACATGAGAGTTCTTTATATTTCACTTGCATTTGAAACTTTTCATATAAAAAATGTACATTCCATTGAGCATCGGTATTATCCTCAAATATTTAAGGACTACCTGGTAGACCTAGTAGGATTAAAACTTCTAGGCCCACAAAGGTATTTTAAAATATAGTTCCTGCTTTTTTAAGAAGTATTAACAGCACCTGCTCAAGGAGATTGGGCACATCCATATAAAGATAAACGATATGCAAACCATGGCATATACTCAATGCTTTATTTAGATAGGAAGTTCACAGGAAGTAACAGCAGAGCAATTTTAAACAGCAGGGCTTTAAACTTACCACAAAGCTATAGTCGCCGAATAAAGTGGAAGTACATAGGAACAGACACACATAGATCAATGGAAGACAAGAAAAGTACAGAATAAACCCGTACGCTTATGGACAAGACTGGCCAGCTAATTCAATGGGGAAAGAATAATTTTTTCAACAAATGATCCTCAGACAACTGGATATCCACTAAAAAAAATAAATAAATAAAACTGGACTCCCTTCCTCACAGCATATACAAAAATTATCTTAAAATAAACATAGACCTAAATATAAGAGCTATGACTATAAACTCCTAGAAGAAAACTTGTAAGTAAAACTTTGTGAACAATAAGTTAGTAATATTTTATTGATACTAAAAACACAACTTGTAAAAAGATAAATTAGATTTCATGAAAATTAAAAATGATCATACTTGAAGGGCATCATCAAAAAAGTGAACAGAAAGCTGGGTGGGGTGGTACATGCTTGCAATCCCAGCACTTTGGGAAGCTGAGGGAGGAAGACAGGAAATTTGAGCCTACTCTAGGCAATATAGTGACTTAGCAAGACTCTGTCTCAAAATGAAAAAACTAAAAAAGTTTGAGGATGTAGTTCAATCCCCAGGAGCACAAAAAAGAGGGCAAAAAACAAAAAAAAAAAAAAAAAAAAAAAAAAACAAAGAAACAAGAAAGGTAACAAGACAACTACAACATTTGTAAATCACATATGTCATATGAAATTTATATTCAGGGGAGAAGTATAAACATAATAAAAGAGTTGCTAAGCATACCTAAAGAAGACAGATTTTAAAAGAAAAAAAGAGGAGCTGGGAAAATAATGGAAATCTTGAATGATCAAGATGATAGGGAAGAAGTGGAATGCATGAAACAGACTCAAAGCGATATCCAGGAAATTAAAAACTCCATTGAAAGCTGGCAAAACCACTTGAATGAAACTGAAGACAGACTTTCAGATCTTGAAGTCAGGATTACAGCCAGTGATTGCAATAGGAAAGTTCTCCTAAAAATAACAAAGAACCAGGAAATACAATTCAATGGCTGCAAAGTGGCCCCAAAAATAATAATAATAATAATAATTTAACAATAATAGGTGACAGATGTCAGCAAAAAAGCAGGAGTCAAAACAAATGACATAAAAAAAACTACTTATAGAAGTAGTAGCAGAAAACTTCCTTGGCTACTTTTCTCTGTTGTTGCTGTGACAAAATACCCAACATCTAAAATTAAGGAAGGAGTTAATAGGATTATTTAGCTCAAAGTTTGTGGAAGTTTCAGCACACAATCAGCTACCTCCATGGCAAGGTGGCACCTGGCACAGGGGCAATACTTCAAAGCAGCGGAAGACAACAAGGCAATAACAGCAAAGGGGTGAGCCTCTTCTCCCTATACTGCACACAGCCAGTACCCTCCTCCCCCAGCAGGAATAAGACTCACAAAATCTCTGTGCTCACCTCTTACACAGGTTAAAGATTCTTACAAAGGATGGACCCTGGCTTTCAGTTGAGTGCCTCAGTTAAACTTCTAAACTTCCCAAGTTGACATAATGTATGACCATAAGACTTCCCAAGCAAGGGAAAAGGACCTGACATACAGATAAGAGAGGCATATAGAACTCCAACTAGCCATAACCAAAAATAAATTTACACCAGATGTATAACAATCAAGATTCTAGAAATTCAGCACAAGAACAAACTATTAAAGGCTATTAGAGAAAAGAAACATATCACCTGTAAAGGAAAACCCATCAGAATCACAACAGACTTCCCAACACAGAAGAGCTTGGAATGAAGAGCTTCAAGTCCTGAAAGAAAACAATTTCCAACCCAGACTGATGTACCCTGAAAAATTATCTTTCAAAATTAATGGAGAAACAAGACATTACTATGACAAAGAACAACTAAGGAATTTGACCACCAAACCAACCCTACCAAGAGTACTGAAGGATATGCTAGCAAAAGATAAAGATAACCACGGTTCCTGGAATAGCAACAAAGGGGATCACCAAGAGGGGCAAGCAACTGAATGAAGGGAAAAGCAGGGAGGCAACAGCAGGAAAACAGCACGGCAGAGATGAGTCAGTCATAACCATTCATGTCGATAGCCTCAACTCACCAATAAAAAGAAAGATGGGCAGAGTGGGTCAAGAGACAAGGTTCATCAATATGCTGCAAACAACAAACACAATTTACAGACTGGAAGTTAGAGAAGAGAAAACAATGCTCCATGCAACACAGAACCAGAAAAAAACAGGGGTAGACTGCCCATCAACCACAGAACAGATATGAAAGACCTGGCATTTTTAATATAATGGATAGTTACTCAGCTATAAAAAAGAATAATCTCAAGGCTCCTGGAGGTAAATAGATACAACTTGAGGTCATGCTTATGGGTGAAATAGTTAACAGTCACAAAAGTGAACATAATGTTATCTCCTTAGTCTAAAAAAGTGAGTTAGTGGGATTCAAAATGTACAATAAATATTGTAAAAGTGAAGGGGGAAGATATGGCTAAAAAGGGAAGGAACAACTGGGATGGGGAAAGGAGAAAAAGAAGTGAAAATAATATATATATATATTATATATATAATATATGTATGTGTGTGAATACGTGTGTGTATATATATACTAATATATATATATATATACACACACACACACTCAGGATAGATAATTATACTACTAATCTTTGTTAGTCCAACAAGAAGAATGGTTTATGCTTTCACTGTATGATCACTTTTTTCATATAATGAGAACAACTACTTTGAAAACAATATGCAACACTTTAACCATTATTAATCCCAATATTCTGTTTTGAAACTCTGTATCATTGTTTTTATTTTTTTTCATTTTAAAATTAAAAAGAAACTTGTATTCAGAATGTAAGAACTATTATAATTCAACAATAAAAACACAAATGACCCAAGTTAAAAAGACTGTAACATTAAACAGACCTTTCTCCAAAGAGGATAGTACAAATGGCCAATAAGCATATGAAAAGGTATTTAGCATCTTTTTAATATCATTTCTGATTAAGAAATTGCAAATGAAACCAACAATGAAATAGCACTTTATTGCCTGGCAAGCTTAAGGTCAGGAGTTCAATTCCCAGTACAAACCAACCAACCAACCAAAAAAGAAATAGCACTTTATATCCACTAGGAGAACTAAAATTTTTTGAACAAAATCCTAATACAGAGAGACTGGACATCTCATACATGATGCTCGAATGTAAACGATGTGGCCACTTTGGAAAAGTTACCCAGAACGTTAAATATGGAGATGTTATATGACCCGGCAATTCTGCTCCTAGTAAACACACAAGGGAAGTGACAGCATATGCTCACACAAAAACTGTACATGAATGTTCATAGCAGCATTCTTTACAATTATTCAGAAATGGAAACAATTCAAATGTCCAAAAAATGAGTCAATAAATAAAACATATTCACACAATGGACTATTATCCATCAATAATAAGGAATGTAATTCCAATATCAGCCACAATATAGATGAAGCCTTTACACTAATAAAAGGATGTCAGACACGAAGGGCCACATAATGGATTCCAATTATACGCAAAATCAAGGAAAAGCAAATCTACAGAAACAGGAAGTAGATTAGTTACTCCACAGAGCAGGAGAAAATAGGCAGAGGAAAGGGCTACTAACGACACAGGTTTCTTTTGGGGTAATGAAAATTAGACAGTAGTGATGATGGCACAATTCTGAATATACAAAACTTAAGTATACATTTTAACAATGGAAATTTTATGATATATGAATTATATAACAAGGCTGTTTTTTAAATCCTGTATTCTGTTGCACAATAGGGTGCACTTAAAAAAATCAAGAAAGGATTTTGAGTGTTTCCACCACAAATAAAATGTTTAAAGAGATACATGTTTGCCCTAATTTGAACAGCACACAAGGCAACCATGTAACAAAATATCACAACACCATGTAAATAAGTACAATTGCTATGTAAACCTAGTATTTTAAATTAAAAAATCCACAGTAGAAACTTTTTAAAAAGCAGGAGTTGAACCAGGATAAAAAAGCAAAGTAAGATTTGGAGGCTAAACAGCATGAATTGTGACTAAGATATAAAAATACACATGGCTGCAATGGACAGCTACTTTGAAGAAAATAAGACATAATAACAGCTAGTACCGATTTAATACCATCTTGTCTTAAAGCCGCACCAAACTGTGGTTCTTCTGTCTCCATTGATTTTATCATGTTGTAACTTGCTGGATTTTATCGTATGTGGTAGTATAAACAAAAATTGTCATAGGCAAAGAGATAATATTGAAACCATTGATCATTTTTTCTGTTAGCTGGTTCTAAATACTCTACAATGCTTTCATCCACTTGAATGGTGTTACACAGTCTTGATATGTTTGATGCTATAGCATATGAAGTTATATTCAAATATTTCAAAGAAAAAGACACTATGGTAACTACTATTAAGTCGGGTTATTTGGTGGTGAAGCACTAGGTTGCTGAAAGTGTCATGCTTTAACCTGTACTGTTATGTTGTTATGCCCCCTTTTATCTCATCCTCTCCTTTATTCATTAAAAAATTATTTAATTTTTTAAAAAAAATATCAACCAATAAAAATGCTGCTGGATCTGTAGGGAAAACGAAACCCTTTACAACTGTTGGTTAGAGAGGAGGCTAGTACAAACACTGTGGAAATCAGTGTGGAGATTCCTCAAAAAATTAGGATTAGAGGTCCCATTCAACCCAGGTATTCCCCTTCTGTGTATCTTCCCAGAAGGATTGAAAAACTTCACACCACAGTGACATATGTAAAACCATAAGGTTCAAAATATACAATAGTCACTGTGAAATGGGAGGAAACTGTTCAATAAAAAGAAGAAACTAAGATAGGGGAAAAGAGAAAGGATAGAAGGGAAAAGAAAAAAATGCAAGTTAGTTATACCATTAGTGTCACTTAGTTCACTGAATAGGAAAGGTTGTGCTAATATTGATTGAAGAAATTTGTATGCCCATATTTTGTACTTGAGTGACTAAAGATAATGATGTGTAATTTATCAACAATTGTTACTTTTTCATTATTTTGTTGTGAAAATTTGTTTTACCTTTTCTTCTTAATATTAACCAATAAAGTATTTAAAAAAAATACACATGACACAGTCAAGGGATAAATTACTACACTGACTACACCAATACTTTTGAAAACAAAGGAAATAATACATAAGGCATCTGTAGATAGGAAAAGACAGATATATATAGAACAATTCTTTACTAGAGAGATCTGTATCATAACGCAAACCTATCAACTGAAATTCCCATACTGACACCAAGGTAAAATTGGGAAGTCCAGAGAACATGCTTTTTGATTGTATGTAAATATAAACAAGAGAAAACATAACAAGTAATTCCCAGGAATAATTACAGCATCTATTCTGAAGATTTGAAATCAAATACCAAATAAAACTTAACATACCAGATCCTCAGGAGTTGCCCGATGAACTGTCAGATCAGTCATAGTATTCTGAAAGACAAGATAACCTTTATTTAAGAAAAAAAGTTTCATATAGAATATTAGCATTTACCAGATTATAAAGCTGAAAATGGATTAAAAATCCTGAAACCAAAAACTCTTTCCAGAAAACAATATTCTCCATACAAATATTACCACAGGTTATTGTTAGGTGTCCCACAGAAAATAACATATTTTAGGTCTTACAGAAAATACACACTCAATTATATTAAAACAAGGAAAAAGAGTATCATGTATTCAAAATGAGTACCTTTAACTAAATTTATGATTTTTAAACTGTATTTCATGGAATCACAGGATTCTTATAAAATTTCTCATAGTATGATCACCATAGAAAGGTTCACTTTATATCCACAAACATCTGTGGCATAGAACCTATTATATGATATGAGATTAACTCATTACCAGTCCAATTATTTCAACACAGAATAACCAAATACAGAATAGCTTATTCTTTCATTAATTTTCATAAGCTAAAATAACAGAAAATATAAAAACAATTTTATTAAAGTTTTTCAATACAAGAATCAATTGGTTGAAATGACTCCTGTCCAACTGATACTCAGGATAGCACATAAACAAACACACCGCTCAAGTGACCCTCAGGGTACACTGTTAAGTGGTTAAGTGTGTTCACGCTGCCTAATTCCATAAAATGTGAAAATAGTTACTTATGCAAAAATGCACTAACCAGCATGGCCAGGCTACCACACTGCACAGCTCCAGGAGATACCAGCAGTATTCCTGTTTTGCTACACAGGTTTAGAAAGGCAGGAAATAAAACGAGTTACAGTTTTACTTGTAAGTGGTAAAAGATACAAAGGAGACCGAGTCACAATAGTTTTAGGCATATTCAAGACTAAACGTCTTGGCTATGATTATACTTAGGTTACAGCTTTTCTACATAAAAAACTGTTATTCTTTAGATGACAATTTAGGAAGGTACAAAATACAACTATAAGCACATGAGAATTGATTGTAGTAATCCTAATAAAATGCAAGCACATGAAGAAATGATATGCTTGGAATTAGTTTTCATAGAAAATATAATTCCATCAATACCACTAGCGCTTTCTTTTCAAATTGTCTTTAAATTTAATATATGAGTCATTTCAGAAAGTACCTCACTATTGTTAGCAAAACAGTATGAATCACTTAGAATTCCCCTCAATCACTTACTATTCATGTAAATAACTATTTTCCAATTTCAGTCTACTTTTAAAAGACAGATTTTTGGCGGGCCAGGGATTTAGCTCAGTGGTTCAGCGCCTGCCTAACAAGTACAAAGTCTTGAGTTTGATTCCCAGTATCTCTTCCCAAAAAAGACAGATTTTTTTTCCAGTTTTAGAAATAATAAAAAGTAAATTACAGATTTTAATTTAATTGTATGCAATAGCTAAATACTGAGCTTCCAAAACTAACCACTACAAAGGGGACAATACTGTGTTACCATAAGTATTATTGCCAATCAGATGACAATAAAATGATCTAGACAGGCAAGTCTCTTTTTCCCACTTTCAGAAGTTGTCAGTTTGCCCAAGATACTGCAAAGGTGGTTGGTCACTATCTCGAAAGTTCCAAATCCAAAATCTAAACTGGTCCCTGAATAATTACTCTTCTCAATGCAAAGGCACCCAAGTCTCACATCCAAACCAAAAATTCAGAATGCAAAAAATAAATCTCCTTGATAGTAAGAGGTTATACTCAAGTTAGAAGCCAAGTAAGACATGTTCCAGATACCTGAGACTTATTTTATATTTTAAGAGAATCTTGTACTGTGAAATTCACCAGCCTGTAGAGAAGTAAGCAGCAAATAATTCAAATGATAAGAAAACAAAGATCACCCACTTTTTCAGTCAAAAATGCCACCCACAAAATTAAATTATGGAATCACCGGCTGCTAAGGACAAATCTAAAACAAGTACCAAAAATGTTCACAGAGACTAACTAGTTTTGCCTTAAAGCCATGAGATTTCAGTCAAAGCAGAGGTGAAAGGACTTTTGTAAAAGACACACTCTCCACCAAATTATGACGTCAACATTCTTTTCCAAAGGAGCTAGAAGTTATAGCCTAGGCAGATATTCTGAGTAACTCCCCAAAGAAATCTGCTCTTTTCCCCAAGACCAAGGATATAACACGCCCAGAAATCCAGTCCACTTTGTTAATGGCACTTTGAGCCCTATTCAGAACCACACCCTGAGTGACCAGGGCTGTACCATCATGCCTATCTTCCAGAGTAAAGCTAGAGTTTGCCAACCCACCGCATGAACTTACATCCCATTCTTGCTTCACTGCAGGTTTCTTCTTCTTTACTTTCAATGCTTTTTTCCCACCTCCTCGGGGACAGTAACGGTTCACTCTGACCAATGACATCTAGGAATAATACCAAAATTTTTAAATGCAAGAAAAAGTGGTAATTATGCATTACAGGGTGGGCGGGGAGGACACCTAGGAAAACCAAAGTTAAAACATCAGAAGAAAAATTTAAGCATCATGAAAGGAATAGGTTATCAAAATACTTGATTCTTTTATTTTACAATCAATAGGAAACTGATACAGATACAAGTTTCAAGTGAATAACTTAAATTTATTTGCTTAATTAAGAATTCTAAGAAAGCAGCAATTTAGCAGATAGCTAAGACAATAGTCATGGTCTTTGTCATCAGTCACACAAAATCACAATTAGTGAAAATGCCAGTCACACGCTAATATTAAGAAAACAAAGAGAAAGAAAGGGAAAGTCAAAGAGAATTAGCTTCTTTTTCCAATCACTAATACTCCAAGTCACTACCATTTACATATGTGCTTACTTTAAAGGAAGCTAAACATTAGAGAACACATGAAGTGGGCTGTCAGACTTTCAAATGACATAAATAAGGGTGATTACTGATTTTAAATAAGAATTGGTAAATTACCAAAATTATCTTGACACTCTTAAAATAACTATGCTAAAGACACCGGACTAAACACTATAAAAAGTTAGAAGACTTACAGAACCTGAACACCATGATTTTACTATATGTATAATTTTTTAAAAACACATATAGTACACGACTACTATTCTGAGAAGTTCTTTACCTACAGAAATAATTACAGAACTTTGCAGTTAACCCCTAGTCTAACATTCCCTATTTAAAAAAATAATTTAGTCTACTGTAATAAAGAAGCCTAAACACAGATGTTTCTCAAGAATTTTCCCTCCATCTCCATTGTCCTCTATACTCTCTCATCAGTCATACTGAATATGGTATCCAATTTCAGAGTTTACAGTACAGCAGAGGAGGTAAGTCACAGATGGTCTAGGGGATGGCAATTGGGTTTTGTTTGCAGAGCTATGGATGGAGCCAAGTGCCTCACTTATTCTCCGCCTGCCAAGTTTTATGACAGTGAGGATGATGATGATAGTTGAGGCAGTGCTGATGACAGCATCAGCCAACACTTTTTTTTATTATAAACTAGGCACTGTTCTAGGCTCTTTACACATATTATCTTCTTCAATTCACGTAACTTCAGGAAATACTACTTATTACTGATCTTAGAGACAAAAAAAAAAACCTAAAGGGCAAAGAATTAATGTGACGTTCAGACAATTAGTAAGTAGCAGAGACATAAATATGATTTTAAAAGATATCGACTAGAATAGAAATAAGAAGCCAAAATACATTATTTCATTTATGGTCAGTTTATTTTCCAACAAAGGTGTCAAAACAATTCAGTGGAGAAAGAACTGTCTTTTCAATGGTGCTGGGACAATTGGATATTCACATGAAAAAGAATCAAGTTGGACTCCTACCTCATATCACAGAAAAAAAACTGGCTTAAAATGAATCATATTTAAATGTAAGAGCTAAAACTATAAAACTTTAGAAGAAAATATAAGCATAAATATTTATGAACCTTCAGTTAACCAACAGTTTCTTAGATATGGCACAAAAAGCACAAGCAACTAAACAAGAAAATAAATTGGGGTTCGTCAAAATTTTTAAATTTTATGTTCAAAGGCACAATTAAGAAACTGAAAAAGACAAGCAATGAAGTGAGAGACAATATTTGTAAATCATACAGCTGATAAAGGATTTATATCCAGAATATATACACAATTCTTACAACTCAACTATAAAAGCATCCAAATTAATAATGGCCCGGGGGCCTGGCATGGTGGTACAGACCTGTTATACAGCACTAGAGAGGCTAAGTCAGGAGCAGAGCGAGCAACAGGCCAGCCTAAGCTACATAGCAAGTTCAAAGGCAACCAGATCTACATAGTGAGAGTCTGTTTCAAACAAGCCAAGCTAAGTAAATAATGAATAATAAAAGCAAATTAAAATGACCTTATTATAAGGTTTGAATAAACATTATCACAAATAAAGTACTACAGATGACCAATAAGCACACAAAAAGATGACCACATAATTAGGGAAATACCAATAAAAATCACAATGAGATAATACCTCATACCCATTAGAACAATTATAATAAAAGAGACAGACAATATCGAACATTGCCAAGAATGTGGAGAAATTAGAATCTTGTGATAGCTGCTGATGGAAATGTAAAATGGTGTAAGCATTTTGAAAAGTCTGGCAGTTCCTCAGAAACATTAAACAGAATGAACCATATGACCTAGCAATTCCACTCCTTGGTATATTACAAGAGAAGTTAAACATAAGTCTGTGCAAAAAATTGTACATGAATCGTCATAGCAGTATTATTGTAATAGACAAAAAGTGGAAATACCCAAAATGTCCACCAACTGAAGAATGTATAAATAATGTGATATATCCACACAATGGAACATTACTTGATAATATAATAAATGAGGCAACATGGATGAATTTTGAAAATATTACAGTGAGAAAAGTTAAACAGAAAAGGCCATAGAGTTGCATGATGCCACTTATATATGTCGTGAACAGGCAAATCCATAGACAAAAAGTAGATTAAGCCTATCAGATTACAGAGGAAGGAGAAGACAGAAAATAACTTCTGTGGCTATACAGGATTTCTTCTGGTGGCTTTTTTTTCAGTTCTAGAATTAGATAGTGATGATGGCTGCAAAACTCTAAACCAATTTTTTTAAAGGATAAATTTTATAGTATGTAAATTATATCACAATATGGCTCTAATTTGGAAAGATATGGGAAATAGACTTGTTCAAAGAACCTATTTTAATCATTTAGATTTTTAACCACTTAGACCTCCAATCTCTGCAGAAACAAAGAATGGTAAACTGTGTGTTAATCAGTACAGCAAATAATGCATCCTTTAGAGTTATATTAAGGAGAATATTTAATGACAGCGAATATCTAACCCTAAAATATCTGTCCACACATCCCTACATCTACGAGGTGTATTTTTGTCCAGGTGCTCATTATTTCTAATTGATTTCCTTCTCACTCGTTCAGTCACTCACTTCACCCACCTATTAATTCAACAAATATTTTTAAAGTACTTGCTAAGAGCCAGGCACCAAATATAGCAAGAAAGTATAATAGCCTATGGCCTGGTAGCCTTTTGAGTTTGTCACACAACTACAGTTTAAACAAGCCATTACAATTAAAAAAAAAAATTTCATGTGCCATGGAAATATCTTTTCCTACACAATGAAGAAAGTCTCTCTCTTCGCCTTAATTCTCTCTGAAATGTTTAAGATGAAAGCTAAAGCATGAGTAAAAGTTAGACATGGGAAAGAAAGCATGTTCCAGGCAAGGGAGAAAGCATGAGGAGTTTGAAAAGCTCAGTCTGAAAATCTGCCGTGTTTAGTTTGAGACGCTAATCAAAAGAAATAAAGGCTCTTTCCAAACACTGTCCCTTCCATCAGTTCTACCCAGACAGAAGTCAATGTGTATAGACCTCAAGCTTTTACTTCCTTCCTCAAGACTTTAATGGCACCCCGCTGCAGAGAAAAATCCAACTTCAGAGTTCGCCCCACCTCTTCGGCCCGACTGATCTTTCCAGTACTGTCTCACGGCTCCCACAAAAACCAGGCTCTCGCCCTGGCACACAGGTCCAACAATTCTTTTCCTTCTGCTTGCAACCCTCTTCTGACTTTCACTCACTTTTCTATCGGCTTTACTCCCCTAACTCCTCACAACTTTCAGACAGCTCCTTCTTAGGAATGCCTTCCTGAAGTCCACCGATTTAAAAGATCGACTGCAACCCAGCGTGCGCTGGGTGGTTTATCTCTCTCCTGCTAGAGTTGGCCCCTCCGATGGGGAGAATCCAACACCCCCATCTTCTAGCTCCGTGCAATCGCATCCGAGAGCGGTGTACATATGCACACAGGGGTGCTCCTGCAGAAAGCGCACTAGACAAATACTCTGAAATGCACGCACTCTCGAAACTTGTCCCTGAGGCCCTCGGTACATGGATCCCTGACCCGCGCCTGGGTCCCCGGGGGCCAAAGAGATGCTAGCTCCGTTCTCCCCACCCTGGGGTAGCGTCGGTCTCTAAAGCTGGGTAAGCATGGGGACTGCAAGCGTCTGCTGCGTATCTCAACCTGCCTGGCAGATTTCCAGCTGCTGCCTCCACTGGGACAAAAACCTCACGGTCCAGAACGGCGAAGCCCGCCACAGGTTAACAGTCCACAGCTTCCGGGCTGTTGCCGGGTTACCGCAGCCCCGCCCCCACGCCATTGCGTATTTCCGGTGAGCTCAGTGCGCAGGCGTCGTTTAAAGACCGGCTGGCGTTCTGGGACTGTGAATGCCAGGGGTTTGCTGCTTCTTGGTGAACTCTGGTTTTCTGGGCAAAGTATAACTGGATAGATATGTGGCATCAGCCAGTGCCTCGAGAATTTCTAAATCAAAAGTGTTGCTCTCCCTACCAGGCTTCACATATCACCCATATTTGTTCTCACATCCATTGGTTTGTTTTAGAATGTTTATTACCATCTATCTTTATGCGAGAGACTACGCTGGGTTCAGTGGGAACTAAATCAAAGCAAGGTCCCTGCTCTCAAGAAGCTTATAGCAAATAGAAAACTATCAGTGGTACAAATATAATACTTAAAAGAATGATGACTGCTAAGAAAGAGCTATGTTGTTTATTAAAGGAATATTCGAATTTCTCAAGAAAACTGAGGTGCAAGGATGAGTATCCTTACAAAGGAAAAAGCATATCTGTAAAGGGAACCACATGTGTAAAGATGTGACAAATTCAAAGGACAGAAAAAAGTAAACTATGTCTATAGTTGAGAGAATAGGGTAGTTGTGTAAGGGGAGGCTGCTGTAATAGGGTTCAACTGGCACCTTATGGATTATACGAGGGACTATGCAGTACTTCATTCTAAGCAAAGATTAATGTTCTCCAACAACACAATTTCCTTTAGACTCTGGCTTTCTAATGTTTAGAAACATCAGTACATAAATCAAATACATATTCTACCTACTACTAGTTCCTTTTAGATGCAAGGAACTGCCTTCTAATACTTTTCACTCAGGAAGTTTGATGTAGATATTAGTGGTTAATCAATATAGTCATCTCCTTGCTGACATCTATAACTCTGTCTTCCTTTCTGAGTTGCTGTAATCACTTGGTGATTTCTGATACTAGCCGTCCTAACTTTACACTAACCAAGTTCTTGAGCTTTTAGAGCTGAACCTGGTAGAAAAACACACACACACCTACACTGCCTTTAAATTCATGATCACAATTTGGGAGGAGGGGAAGACCAGTAATCAAACTCCCTCAGGCTTGCCAGGCAAGCACTATGCAACAGGCTAATTTTTTTTAAATAGGGTTTTGCTATCCAGTTCATACTGGCCTTGAACTCACTGTGTAGCCAAGGCTGGCCTCAAACTCAAGGCAATCCTCCTGTGTCAGCCTCCCCACTTACGAGATTACAGGGCTGCACCATCATTCCCAGCATGATCACAAATTGTATGTAGCCTTTTAAAGATGCTTGAACATCTTATTATAGCTCTGTGAACCATCTATTCTCCCACTCTTCTAGATGATAGGTTTATACTTTCTCTCATATTCAACATCTCTTCCTCCTCAGTCTCAGTATCTGTTACTTTTCTCTTATTACTGAGACAAAATTCACAACCCTCAAAATTAAGGGATAAAAGGTTTACTTAGCTCATAGTTTATAGAGGTCTCGGTCCATAATCGGCTGTCTCCAAGGGAGGCTAGTGTGGCAGAGGGGCAACAGTTTACAGGCAGCAGAAAATACAAAAGCAATGAGAGTGAAAGGGAGAAGCAAACCTCTTTTCTTCACTTCTAGTGTATGCAGGCCACCCTCCCTAAGATGGGTGTAGTGCCTACACTCTCAATCCCAGAATGAACCAATCACAGACTCTAAATTCATCTACCTCCAAAAGCCTGCCCCTCATGACTGCATGAGACTTTGGGGGGACATCTAGACACGAACCATAACATTCAGCTAACAATCATCATTTCCATTTCATTGCCAAAGCTCAATTAATGAGAACTTCCATAAGTTTCCATCACTACTTTGGCTCTCTTAACGTCTTAACCCACTTATTTCATCTTCACAAGCTTAATGAAATATAAGGACAAGAAATATGAAGGAAACTATATCAAAGTACATCATAATCAAATTGCTCAGAAGCAGTGATAATGAAAAAAAAATCCCAAAAGCAGCCAGAGAGGGAAAATACATGTTACATACAGAAGAACAAAAATAATCAATTTCTTACTAAAAACAAAGCAAGAAAAGCAGTTTAAAATTTATTGAAGGAAAGAAACCCTTTCAATTTAGAAGTCAATGTCTGGTAAAAGTCTTAAAAATATGATTAAATAAAGATGTTTCCATGTGTATAGATATTGATATAATTTATTAGCAGTAGACATTCACTATGCAAAATGTTAAACAAGATAGAAAAAATTAGTCCAGATGAAAATCTGAATCTTTGTAAAAGAATGAAGAGCACTGGAACTGATACCTACAAGATTATTTTTCTTACTACATAATACAAATATATTGTGAAGTTTATAATATATGTAAAAGTAGTTTACCTTTTAACAAGAGCATAAAAGTCAGACTATTTTGAGGTTTCTATACTATTCCTGATGTACTACAATGTCTGTTAATGTGACATGCTGAAGTTGCATACTATACACTTTAAAACCACACTAAAATAACAAAGGTTATAGGTAAAAACTCACAAAAAATATGAAGGATAATAAGACAAATACTTGATTAAAGAGCAGAAAAGAGAAAACAAAAGTACAGAAATAAAAGGGAAATGAAATGATGGAATACTATTAATAATTGTATTAGATATAAATGGTCTAAATACTCTAAAAGGAAGAGATAGTCAAATTGTATGTTTAAAACTCCCACTTATTAGAGGAAAGCACATTAAATTTAAAGACACAAATAAATTTGAAGTACAAAGATGTCTAATGCTGTAACGTGCTAACACTAATAAAAAGAAACCTTCAGTGGTTTTATTAATACTATATAAAGTATATTTCAAGACAAAAACTATTGCCAGGTATTAAAAAGGTCATTACATAATGGTAAAATAACTATTTATGCAAAAGAAGATTAACTCTGAACATTTATGCATTTGATGATCATACTGTGATGTGAAACTGAAAAATCCACAAAGATAGATTTCAGTGTTTCCCTTGATTAATTTATAATACAAGTACATAGAAAAATAGAAACATTATAGGACTTGAACATCAACCGTGTTTGCCTGATTGACATTTATAAAAGCTTGTCATTGAACTAGATGGTAGACGTTTAAATATTTAAAAATTGAGACACATTGCCATTAATCCCCATCAAAATACTCCCCTTAGAGTTTGAAACAAGCGTATCCCTCTGTTCTTGCCACTTTTGAAGTAGGTCATATGTTGAAGTAGTTTGGAAAGTCTCTTTTGAGTGTCTTTATGAGGTGTGATCAACAATAAAGTGAATGCTGCTGTGTAATGCCATACAATGGAAAAGTACTCTTGTGAAAAAAACACATTATGGGCTGTCCTAATACATCATTTTCACTGGATCTGGCACTGCATGACTTACGAATTTTTTGCAAGGTCCATGAAAGGCTGACGTTTTTATTCAGTTTGGAACATCAAGGGATCAACAACCATGCAACTAATGACACTCATAAGACTTTCAAAATTACTTCACAAAGCAAGAATGATTACTTAAGTATGTTGGAAGTGGAGAAGGTATTTTGAGGAGGATTAATGGCAGTGTGTCTTTTCTGTAATAATTTTTTAAAATTTAAACATTCACCATTTTTTATCATACCTTGTAGAATATTCCTGCAATAATTAGCAGAATAGCACATGCTTCTGAATTGTATACAAAATTTTTAGTATATAGGAAATAATCTGTACTGTAGAATGAGTTCTGCTAATTTTAAAAGGTTTCAAGTCATACAAAAACATATTCTTTGACCACAATATAATTAAATTAGAAATAAATAACAAAAATGATTGCTTTAAAAGTTCCCTCCAACTTTGGAGGAAAGCTAGCACACTTCTGAATAAGCCATTACTAGTGTCTGAATGTGTCCCCAGAAATTCATACATTGAAACATAATAGCTAATCTGATAACATTAACAGATAAAATCTTTACTAGGTAATTTATTGTGCATCAGGAGGCCTTTGCCTTTCATTAGTGCAATTGGTCTCTTTCTAAAAGTGCTTGAGGGAATAAAAGGGACTTTTATTCATCTGCTATGGCATTTTTCTACCATGTGACAACACAGCAACCAGATGCTGAATCTTCTGGTGCTTTCGTCATAGATTTACCGGCCTCCAGAGCTGAGAAATAAACCTATGTTATTTTTTAAATTACCCAGTCAAAATTAACTATTTTGTTATAGACTAAGAGAGTCACTAACCAAGCAATCAAATCATAAAAAATATACATTGAACTAAATGAAAATACAATATATCAAAGCTAGACACCTATATTAGAAAATAAGAAAGAGCTCAAATTTTATCTTTAGAAATTAGAAAAGAAGAGCAAATTAAAACAAAAATAGAAAGATTAAAATACTTAGGATCAAAGTTAAATCAATCCAACAGAAAAATAATACACACACCCAAAAAACCCCACCAAAAACCAGATCTTTGAAAAGATTAATAAAACTGATAAAACTCTACCCAAATTAAGCAGGCAAATTTTCCCACAGGTTACCAGTATCAGGAATGAAAAAGGTACAGGATCAAGAGATGAAGGGAGAGGAGGTAAGAGAAGGGATGTGGATGTAGAAAGAATTAAGATGTGTTCTGTACACATACCAACTCACCAAAATGAATGTAATCTTTATGTACTGCAAACATGTATGAATAAAAATAAATATTTTTTCCCGGGATTTAGTTCAGTGGTGTACATGCCTGCCTGGCAAGCATGGGGTTGTGAGTTCAATTCCCAGTACCAAAAGTAAATAAATAAATAAATAATATTTTAAAAAAGAAATGAAAAGGTGACAATATTACAGATCTTAAAATAAGAAAATAATATAATAAATCAAGACAAAACTAATCTGTAGAAAAAATTAAGAATAACATAGTATTTGGACAACTTTAACGCAATAAATTCAACAACATAGATTAAATGAACAAATTTTTTGAAACATACAAATTACCAATCCTTTCTCAAGAACAAATAGATAATTTAAACAACA